TAAAATTGTGAGATTTCTTTCTAATATTTTTTAATATTTAGACATTGTAAATTTCATGTGCAAATGACTGCCTTATTATTTGAAAACTAATATTTTTGCATTTGATTATAGCATTGTCTGTGAAATGTTCATTTGCGAATTGACATCCCATAAATTGTGATAATTCTGTATTCGTGAATTTCTATAAGAGTTTTTCTATCCATATTAGATTGACAATTATGCTAGAATGTCTTTACGAACCGCTACCTTTCTTCATTTGAGCCCAAAATATTTGACTGATTATTTTAGAAATGTTATTGAAAGTGATTGTTATTAATGATTTCAGTGATATGTTGAGTACATGATATTGCTGCTTTCAAATGTTTAAAGAGATTTAAAAATACTTTAAGTATGCAAGTGGACTCATCCGGTTCGCCGGTGAGGTATAAGGGACCTATCTGGGATGTCGATAGAGATTAAGTAGACTCATTCGGTACGCCGGTGAGGTATAAGTGGACCTGCAGGGATTAAGTGGACCTATCTGAGATGTCGATAGGGATTAAGTGGACCCATCAGGACGCTGATGGGGTATATAGGTGACTTACTTGGGACGACAGTAGGGTAATTTGTGAAATCCTTTGAATTATGCATTGTCGTTAAAACGTTATACGCATTTCAATTATTCGAATCATACTTAATTATGCTTTTTTTTTAAAGTGAAAATGTTAATGCATTTCTGTTAATAGATCTCCTTTTGAAAATATTGATATCTTTCAATCATGATTACTTTTAAGATTATGGTGATCACGTATTGAGTAGCCAAACTCATCAAATTATGGTAAACATTTTTTCAAGATAACTGCGGTTTCATTTTGAGTGCTCGTCAAGATCAACTTTGGAAGATACTGTAGTTCTGCTTAAACTTTCTTTTGTTACTTTGTAAGAATTCGCTACTGTAAATTTGTCCTATCAATGAGATGTATATATGTTTTGACTGTCACATCTCAGGAATATCAGTATTGTAAATTCTTAGGGCATGACACTCCTCGCCTCTCTCTCTACTGTGAACCTCATCCCTCCCTCTCCCTCTTTCCTCCCTTGACAGCAACAATTAGCCTCCTTGCTCAGTAACCCTAAATCCCCAAAATCAGTAACCCTAGATTTTGTGGACTCTGGAATTTCTCACTGGAAGCTTCTTCCATTCTCAACAACTCTAAATTTCAAGTGATATGAATTTGTAGAAAAAAAAAATATTCAAGCACTATCGGACATCCGTAATCGTCAGATCGATCTAGTTCAATCTGGATCATTGAACTCATATATTCTTATGAAGAAGTGGGTTAATCCTAACTTTTTTATAGGTATAATTATAGATATATATATATATATATATATATATAT